CATGTTAGCATAAAGAGCAGAAACAAGGGTATGCGATTAACATTGTTCTGTCCAAAGGTGCCTACAGGCACCTCTTTAGCTGGCTAATTAGCAGATTATATCATGTTTGTTTATTCACATATAAACCAAAATGTTTTAAAGGGAGATATTTATTGGCACGAAAACTGATTTGCTGGAGTCCTGCCATAACAGTTAGATTGACAGCAACCAGCAGACACTTATGGAAGTCAATTGTCAGTTAATTTTTCATTTATAGTGCTAATACACTTAGTGCCAGCACATGGACGTTAGTCTGACCAACAGACAGTGAATGTTTCAGCTTACCCAGCTGTGTAGTTATTACAGCTTAGGATTTGAATAATTTTAAACATTTCTACACTTTTTACATCAGTGTTGCTGACCTTGTATGGTTCAAGTTTAGTGTCACTAAAAAGGAGCTCAGCCAATGTGGTATTCTAAATGTTCTTATTTTACCATTAGGCTACTAGTGAAGTCAAGTCAGTTTTATTAATGTAACCCATCATTCAAAATCACAAGTAAATTGAACAATCTGCCCAGTATACAACACCATCTGTCCTTAGACCGACACCATCAGGACAAGGTATTCTTTATTTTGTGCACATTCTCTGTGAAATTATCCAGGTCATGAAAAGTTTCTAACTTGGAGAGGCAATGTAACTCTTGCTGTTTCTCCAACTTACCTAACAAAACCCCTTTTCTCCCCTGACTGTCCCCTGCAGGTAGGGACAAAGTGTTTACCTAATTGTTCAGGATGTGTCATCATCCTGCAAGAGCAGTGGCAACAAACAACTCATTAACTGCCTCATTAGGCAGCGTTTTTCCAGCTTTCAACTAGGGAGTAAATACCATAGTTGAGTTGTGAACTAAAGTTTTTAATATAAAGTTGGACTTTATGGACATTCAGTATTTTTATATGAAAAGCAGCATGATAAGATCTATGAACAATGTGTTTTTTGACTTATGCACGCAGTCTATGCAGATGGATGTATACATTTATTAAACTTCTATTTAGAATATAATGAAGCTTTTGAGATGTTAGAATTTGTTATATGGGCCAGGACACATGATATTTCATGATACCTTTTCACATACCATGACTTAAGCTGGACAGCACACTGCCAGCTTGTGTGCTATGGGCTAGAGACTAATCAAGCTCACAGGAAAGAAAGCAGATGCTGTCCTGAGGCTGTGTGTTCCAAGACATCTCTCTGATCTCAGTTGGGTCTTGACATTCTCTCAGTGAAATCAATTAATTGGGTGAAACGGTTCTGTCTTTAGGATGAAACCTGCAGTCTGAGTCCATTCTATGCTGCATGTGCCATAAGCACTCACTCCCACACCAAACGTGCCGGATTAACCATGACAGAAGAAACAAATATAGTTATTACTTTAATTCAGTCCATTTAATCTAAGATAGTAGTGTTGCTTCCTCATTTTAGATTTTGTTGAGAGTTTACTTGTTTTTTATGGGACCCAAAACTAAGTTCTGTTAAATAATTAATCATAGTTACTTTTGGATTTTGGTAATTATACAGATATTTCACAGAACTAACTTTTGGGTCCTCAGTAACACATAAGTAAACTCCGGACAAAAAAGTGAACTCTGGACAAAATCTGAGACAGTGCAGCAACATATTTTCTGAATGCTGTCTGAATTGACATGGACTGATCCACTTCACATTTGGCAGGTAATGCGATACACACAAGTATATATACATATACGGTTGAAACTAGAAGTTTACATACATTGTATAAAAAGACAGAATAATGAGAGAGAGATTTTTTTTTTTATTATTTCCCCTTAAAGTCAGAAGTTTACATAAACTAAGATTACTGTGCCTTCAGGCTATTTGGGAAAACCCTATGATGATGTCATGGCTTTGGAAGCTTTTGATAGGTTAATTGACAACATTTGAGTTAATTGGAGGCAAACACACTGCTTCATTTTGTGAAAACACAGGAAAATCTAAAGAAATCAGCCAAGATATCAGAAAGAGAATTATGGACCTCCACAAGTCTGGTTTATCCTTTGGTACCATTCCGAGATGCCTGAAGTTGGGGCAAATTTGAGAATAATGTGACGTACTTCAAATATTACAAATATGCACACATCCTGTTACATACAGTATCAGTCAAAAGTTTGGACACACCTTCTCATTCAATGGTTTTTATTTGTTTTAATTATTTCCTTCATTGAAGATTAATACTAAAGACATCAAAACTATGGACAAACACATATGGAATTATATTGTAAACAAAAAGTGCTGAACAAGTTAGAATATGTTTTATATTTTAGATTCTTCAAAGTAGCCCCCTTTTTGCTTTGTTGACAGCTTTGCACACTCTTGGCATTCTGTCACTCAGCTCAGCACTTGTTGGCTGCTTTTCCTTCACTCTGTGGTGTAACTCATCACAAACCATCTCAACTGGGTTTAGGTCGGGTGATTGTGGAGGCTACGTCATCTGACTCAGCACTCCATCAATTATCTTCTTGGTCAAGTAGCCCTTACACAGCCTGTAGGTTTGTTTGGGTTCATTGTCTTGTTGAAAAACAAATGATGGCCACAGCAAGTGCAAACTAGATGATATGGCATCGGCCCTGCAGATGCCGTGGTAGCAGGACTCCAGACTGTGACCAAAATGGTTACATTTCCGACCTTTTTTTTGAGGGTGTGCAAGTTAAAATTTCAAGTGGTTGCATTGGTGCGAGTGCATGATGATCATTGAGCTGTATTAGTGTTGCTGTAACCAGCGCAGGCAGCTACTGTGTGGACCCAGAGTCGGCCCTTGGCATAGGCAGTATAGGCAAATGTTAAGGGCGCCGACATCCACAGGGGGCGCCACAAGCTTACCCAGCTAACTGACATGTATTCAGGCAAATATTTATCAACAAGCGCCGATGCAGTTTCTCTACCTTTAGCAGCAAAGACATTACGATAGCGTCTTTGCTGCTAATGTTAGCAGCGAAGACGTCGAAGACGACAGTAGAGAAACTGCATTGGCACCTGTGGTTAAATATTTACCTGAATACACATCAGTTAGCCAGAGAGTATCGCTAAGACATATATATTGAAAAAAAATTAAATAAATATATATATATATATATATATATTTATATATATTTAAAAATACAGAAACTTTCAACAGATAAATTGAAGCACTCTAAGTTCTACTGCACTCCTGCCATGTGGTTGAACCTGCACTGATCTCACCTCTGTGTGTGAATGTGGGTTGGCAATCGACCAACCTTTGAACTTTTTGAGCTCTACATCCTTTTTGAGCTCTATAGAGCTTCATCATTAAACTAAGTCACTGACAATGAGTGACAAACAGGTCATTCACATTTTTATTCAACAACTTAAACCTTTTAGTTGTTTACATGTCCTTGTCTGCTAAACTGGCAAACACGTGTGATTTTATTTACTCTGATGGACACTCCAGATTATGCACTTTTTTTTGCATTCTTGAATAATTTTACAACTTTCACAATCTTGAGAAACTGTTACAATTTTCCTGTGGGGGGGAAATAATTGTAATAATTTTATTTAATATGTTTTTAATGTGTTTTTTTCTGATTCCGATCTTTGGCTACGCACTTTAGTTTAGACCTTTATCAAACAATTACTAGCAACTGACTGTCAGTCATATCGAGTTGGATTATCTATTGGAATACACTTCTTGTAGGTCATCTGTCTTATCTGTTGTAAAATGTAATGTCTTGTAGCAGTCTGGAAAACCACTGACACCCAACGTGGTCTTGTAAGCAAAGGGCTTGTAGCTGGTCTCTCAAGGCCTCAATCTTATGTAGCATATTGCTATTGCCTTTACGGTCCCATGGTCACACCAACTGACAGCGCCTCCTCATCTGTTTTTTTGGCTGATGTCTGCTGGCTGCTCTGGGACTGACTGGGTTGATAGTTTACTGGTTTATGCTGTGCTGCAAAAACCACAAACAGTCTGTGTAGTTGTTCTATTAAAATAAAGAGGGAATGGCTTATACCTTAAATTTTGTTGCAGCTAAAGTGTCTTCCACTTACCTTGTCTGACTTGTAATGGTAAAAAATTCCATGTCACTTTGTTGAACCATTTGAGATGAAGTTGTGGGTCTTTTATACGGCAATAGAGGCTCAATATAGAGTTGAAACAGCTCAATTTCGAGCACACTTGCAAACTGCTCCCGACTTGCTAATATTATGCTGTTGAGGATTTTAGCAATAGATCGTGTAAAAGCAACAGTTTCATATGATTGCAAATGTATTATTATTTATTTATTTTTGTCAAATGCTCACATTGCACAGGCGCAAAGGATTCGATGTAAACGCAGGGGAGATCT